ATGCCCCTTCCACTTCACAGACTTACCTGCAGGGCACCTTTCTCCATGCTGCCCAGCCATGTGCATGCTGTGGCTGCATGCCTGCATGCAGCATCTGAGGCCCTGACCAGAAGGCACATTATATTTATCAGTACGTTATCGGCTGCGCCAACCAAAAAAAGCTGATAGCCGATATTGTTAATTTTCTTGGTATCGGTGTTGATCTGATATGGCACTGATACATCAGTGAGCCTGTAGTTAGTAGTAAACTATTCCCCATGGTCTGAATTGGGTAAAGCTTATTTTTTTTCATATCTCCAAATTTACATGCACATCCTGTATTTCACCTTAATGATATCTGAAACGGTTTCAGCTTCTACAAAACTTGGGGGTCCTGTAAGAGCTTAATCAAATAATAAGACACTAAATTATAACAATTTGTGCAGTCCTGTTCAAAAATAAAAGTAATGCACTTAGAGGAACCTGGCATTGGGAGAGTAAGAGGGCTAATATTTGAGGCATTATAAAAATAAGGGAATTTGCAGGTAGAGATACTAATGAAATTCAAGGTTTTCAGGGTCATGATTGAGCTTCACATAAAGAGGGATTACTCAGGGTTATTCATCTGTGAAGGAATAAGATGCGAGTTGCTTGAGGGGGAAATTCTGATCATTCACTTAATCAAAAAACAAATTTGTACATTTTGTTGGGGAAGATCATTGGAGGTGTGAAATGCAGTTGGTTTGGGTTTGTTTGTTTTAATTCTAAAAAGTGATTGAGGTCAAACTGCAAAGTCTTATTTAGAAATGGTAGATTTCTGTTCAGGAACCCCAGCAGCATGGCTGTGCACTAGTGATGGAAAGGCTTTGCTTTTGAGTACCTTTATTCTGTGTGTCTGTACAGTCTTTGTGCATGAAGCTTCAGTGTTCAGGCAGAAAATGAATGCATCGCTTTAAACTTCTCTCCTCTGTTCACCCTCCATGGCTAAGATCCTTTAGTTTTCTAATGTTATGGGGCATCTTGTCAGAAGATGACTCTTTAGCCTGAGTAAAAGAGTTACTACACTGTAGAAACATATGTGGCAACAGTGCTCTCAGTTTTATCCATAAGGTTCCTACCTAGATGCACTGGGCAGGATTGGAGGGAAACTGAGGCTGCCTGCCTTTTTACATCAATCCCTGACTGTTTCCCCCAAAATAGCTAGTCATGGACATGTAGAAATTCCTCCTTTTGTTGGGGTTCAGGAGAGTGCCATCTTCATTCATTCAAAAAAAAAAAAAAAAA